CCCTCCTGCCAGCCTGGTTGTAGGCAGCCATCTTGTGAGGGTGTGAGGGTTAATTTGCATATTACCTCTTTATTATATAGGATATATAATCTCCATTGTCAAGTTATTTAATGGTTACCTAGAATTCCAGTTCATGTATATACTAAACTTTATTTTACCAATCTTTCCATTACAAATAATGCTGCAATAGATTTTCTGTGTATGTGTGTGTGTGTGTGTGTGTGTGTGTGTGTGTGATTGTGTAATATAATTATGCACATGTATTTCCTAAAAGTGAACATGCTATATCAAGAATTGACTTGAATATATAATTCTTCTTTTGTGACTTTCAGTAACATTCTTGATGTTTTTTTAAAGGCAATTTTTGCTCAACTGCATATATGGTCTTTTACTACCTCTTAAACCAAAGGGTGGCAACCCTTTCTATAAAGTGTCTAAAAGGAACTCTCTTAGGTTTGGTGGGTCATACAGTGATTGCTCCTACTACTTCACTCTACTGTTGTGGTATAAAAGTAGCCATAGACAATATGTAAATAAATGCATGTGGTGGTGTTTCAAAAAAACTTTATTTACAATAGCAGGCAGCAGGATAGGTTTAGTCTGTAGGCCAAGTTTGCCAACTTCTGTTATAAATTGATGCTTGTTTTTCAATTTAAATGACTAAAGCCAACTCTCAATCTATCAATGTATGTCAGGCACTAAAATCCTCTAGTAGGCACTTTTTATGTTTAAAACTTTTGTGAGTAAAATTAAAAACCATACACACTAAAAATAGGGCAGAGCATATATGCACATTCTATAATTTTCTTTAAAGAAAACTAATCTTATTTACACAGTGAGCTCAAAGCATTCAGACCCTTGCCAATTAGTTTACCAGGGATAGCTAGGATTGCAGAGAGTTCATCAGCAAGTGTGTCCAGAGCCCGTGCAATCCAGGGAGTTTTATCCTTTTTAGTACTTTCAATCAAATTTTTCAGACGATTTATCTCTGCCTCCATCTCATCAGATTTCTTCCTGAATCCTTCGTTAAGCAATTCCTCTTGGATCTAAAATAAAGGGTATGGAGAGAGGGAAAAGTAAATTTTTGAAAAATCCCAATTTTTAAATAGTAAAATTTTATATGTAAGAATGTTATTAAATTTTCTTTATTTTCTACATAAAAGTAGTCTCTCTAATTAGATTATTAGAGGATAATATTTGAAGCAGACAGTATCTTCTGGGTTAGACCTGATCAGTGAGAGGAAGGATAGGTTTCAACCTTGCTTAG